TTTAGGGTTTAGGGGTTAGGGGAGGCTCCTCGGAAACTCGGAACCCCAAACCCCCGAACTCCAAACAGGAAACCTCAACTGTCAGCCGCCAGGGAGAGTCGGAGCTGGTTCTTGTTCAGGGCTCCACCTACCTGCTCATCATCGATACTCGCAAGGTTTTTGCCGGTGATACTTCTTCGCCCGATCGTACTTTCCGGCCTCTGCATCCCTTCACAACACTGAATGCTCCTGCCGACACAAACCCGCACAAGGCTTCGTTGCAGACCCCGTCGCCTTGTTGCCGAAGTGCCTTGTCCAGGGAAGGCAGATTCGTCACGTTTCGCCTGGGGCACTTCTCCTGCGCTGAGCAGGAAGTCTTTGTGTAGTACAGGGGCCTTCATAATTGGAATAGGGTTTGGGTGCTACTATACGATAAATTTCAATCAAGGAACCCCAACAAAGTCTGGGTACTTATTTAGGCCCCTAGGTAAGTTGTGGCGACTCCCCCAGCTTCGGCTGGCTTGGGACCCGCCCCGAAATAGGGAGCATAGCACAGTCGAAGTCCAAGGAGCCAGTTTGATGCCGCAGGCACTTCATCAGGCACTTCATCTATTTCATGGCACGTCATTATAATCTTACAGTACCCGCCTTGAATACCTTATATAACGGTTAAAGGAAAGTTGAAGGAACAATGATCTGCCTGGCCGCAACACCGAACCTGAATCAGCTTCTCTTCTCCAAGAAGGCGAGCAACCCTGGTCCTCTTCTTTTCTCCCCAGCATCGCGGCCGCACAGAACCCTGATGATTTCCACTTCTCGCGCGGCTAGGCCGCAGCGCGGGACCTATATTGTCCACTTTCCTCTTCGCGCCGCTGGACCGCTGCGATGGACCCTATATGATCCCTTCCCCTCTTCGCGCGGCTAGGCCGCAGCACTGGACCCTCTATTGTCCACTCAGCTATGGACCCTATATGATCCATTGCCCTTTTCGCGCGGCTAGGCCGCAGCGCTGGACCTGTATTGTCCACTTTCCTCTTCGCGCGG